TGGGGATAGAGGGCTGACAACTTCACCGCTGTGAGCTGACTGTCTAGAAAATGTGGGAGGCTCGACGTCTCACAGCCGTGTGGACCTCAACGGCTTGTTACAGGCACAGCTTTACCTTTTATTGCCTCTTTAATTGTCCGTCGTGTTGTAATTATTCTCCCTTTCACTTCCTGTCTCTCCTTTGTAGTTTAGGTGCATATCGTTCGACATAAACTTCGACGCACTCCTCACTGCGAGTTATCACATATTTTCATATGGACCGAGTAGGACAGGTTGTGTTGCATCAGTTTTGCGTTGCGCTGGCTGCTAGGAACTCCGCCAGCAGCACCCAGCTGAGTGTCTAAATGAATGCTCCGGCTGTGCGCCACTTCAATATCGGCGCTCTAAAAATAAACATCGCGCCTGGCCGTGAACATCCGCCCACAGCAGGACCCGGCTGTCCGTGCCGTCACATCCGGTGGGAAGTGCTCGCTGTTCAGCCACCGCAGGGACTGGCCGCGGGGACAGGGATCCTTCTCTGAAAGCTGATCCCCGTCATTATGCACGGCACAACATTTCATTTCATTCCGTGGCTCTGCAGCCGCTTGTTGGGCCCTGGCCGCTTTTGCGGTTTCGTAACCCTATACACAGTCGGTAGAAACCCTTGGACGGGGGATCAGCCTTTCGCAAGGCCTCTACCAGCACACAAACATTCATGACTCTAGTGGGATTCGAACCCAAACCCAGTGTTCGAGCTCCGAGGCCCACAAACTAACTTCCATATTCATTTGGGACTTACACCGGGGTAAAGCGATTGGGGCATGAAGTGAGTCACTCATCCATGTAGTGGAACTATACCTCCACTCCTCCATACGTCTTCATACTGTGGTGGTTAAACACAGGGATAACTTTACCTTTCATTGGATTCAAGGCTCTTACAACAGTGACTGTGAAGAATATTGTCCCCTTCGATATGACGCCGTGAAATGAAGTAAAGCTCACCGACGTTTCGGAGGAACGTGCTACCTCCATCTTCAGCATGAAAGAGTAAGTGAAGCCGGTTATCAGAAATAATAAGTGCACGGGGCGGCTAGTTGCTGTTTGCTCTTTTAATTGCGTGGCTTATCCTGAAGATGGAGGCAGCACGTTTCTCAGAAACGTCCTTGAACTTGTACCGGACTGCACGGCGTCACATCTCACTCTCCAGATTTGTCTTGCTGCCAGACGGGCGGCATGGGAATGGTCAGCAGATCTGCATTCAGTGAGACAGCTGATCGGTCGTCGCAGGTTGCGGTCAGGGCGTGACGTCACTGGCGTGCACACCGAGCACACTGGCTCAGTCCACAACGTCTCGACCGCGTCACCGACTGTCCTGACCTGCGTTCTTTTTTATTGCGGGTTTTCCCAGGCCCCCTGAGATAATATAAGTTACTGATAAAAGTAAAGTAAATCTATCCCTGTAACAGGCCGTGGAGGCCATAGGGTTGTGAGACGTCGAGGCTCCCACATTTTCTAGACAGTCGGCTCACAAATGGCGGTGAGGTTGTAAGCCTTACGCGCCGAGCTATCCCTGTAACAGGCCGTGGAGGCCATAGGGTTGTGAGACGTCGAGGCTCCCACATTTTCTAGACAGTCGGCTTGCAGATGTCGGTGAGGTTGTCAGCCTTATGCGCCGGCCGCCTTTACCCTCAAGAATATTCCTGGAACTCATTTCTGTTAGAGGCTGAATCGACCCCAGGGCCATAGTGCGTCTGGAAGGATTAGGTAAATTGAAAAAATCCACCTCATCGGAATTCGATCCCGCGACCTTCCGGCTTGTAGCATATTGCCTCAACCAACTACGCTACCGCGTGCCCCCCTTAAGTTACTGGTAGCGTCGTTAAATAAGCTGAAAATTAGTAAATGGTGTAAGTTCACAGAATTCTGCATTGCCTACATTCATTGCATTTCTGTGTTTAGGAAGATTTAACCGGTTGGTCTTTGTATCTGAGACACTTTGTTTTCTGTGAGGCAGGAACTGAATTTTAAAGATTCATACCATATAAACGAACTCAGGCACCAGAGGGTTGACTTTCTTACAGTATTTAATTAGAATCAGTGGGTTGCGACGCCATATAGCTCGAAGAAAACCCGACGTTTCGAAGTAACATATTACAACCTTCAGGTTCGAAGAGTAATGCAAGCAAGAAACCAACAAAAGCGGGCGACACAACCCAGAAGTTCGTGGATGCACGGTCCGTCCGTCAAACACGCACCCCAGCTTACACCACGGGAGCATTAACCAAAGGCTAGCGACATAATAGCACACCGCTGCTAATGAATGTCTTACCTTCCACAATCGCCGCTACGAGCGCACTTGTTCTTGGTCAATAACCCAACTAAATATGTCCTTACGTGAATTTGTATACACAGCTTCAGTGCTGCCACTCGGGAAATGCGCACAACTTGTAAAACTGCATATACATTTAAAATCTGGAACATGTTCATTGCGCTGTTTAATTCCAACATTTCTTTAAATTGTAATTTCGCTTCTTATCAATCACTCCGGTGTGTCACGGGCACTATTTCTCAGCGCGGAAGATCATTTCTATTGTTCTATCTAATCTTCGTTTAAAACACTTGTTTCACTACGGATCAAGAAACTACGAATTAGTACACAGAAGGATGACCAGAATTTTGGGGGACAGTTTTATGCCCTGATTATCCCCTGAACTGACAATACGTTTATAATAAGCAGGATTCTTTTAGTTAATTGTCACGATTTGGTTAGCCTTCTCTAGTGGTAATTATCAGAGTCTTCGGGATATGACGCCATGCGGTCTGCCAGACGGTTACCAACATTTCGGAGGAGACTGCTGCCTGTATTATATCCTGATGATAGAGGCGACAATTTTCTCCGAAACGAATGATGCTTACCTATCAGATTTCTGGACGTCATTGGCAGGGTTGCCGTAGTGCTGTGTAGGCTCGAGTTCGGGAGGTACCAGCTTCGATTCTCGGCGGAGACACGGGCTATCCTGACTGAGGATTTTATGGTTTTCCTCACTCCTTACAGACAGATGCCGGGACTATATCTGAATTTGGTCACGACCGCTTCCTTCCGAATGTTTCCAATTCATGATGTCGCCCTGCCATTCCATGCTATATAGTCCAGACGCCCATGAGTCGTACAGTAACCCCCTCCCCCTAAATCCACGCCATTACACCGCACCTCATCCTATAGAGACAGCAATATGGATTTGCCACACAATAAATAGGCTTTACTTTTAGTGGGCAAAATCTGGTGCAAGTATTCATAAAACTGATTTATCTTAAGGGCGCCCGGTAAGGGAAAATACATTACAGTGTTTTGCTTTTTTAACTGTTGCAGAATTTAGATAATTCATTGGAATGATGCGGCCAAGATGCCATGAGTATGGCCCGCCGCTTTTGTAGTTCGCTACATTAACCGGTTGGTCTTCCCAAAGCAGACGGAGCCTGTTTCCTGTGAGGTACGGACTGAATTTGTATGTTATTTAGCTGAATCTCTGAAACTGCGGCGCAACAAACGTAGCGCTTACACAGAAAGACCGACCTCTCCGTCGTCGAAGGGGAGGTCCCACTTCTAAAACACATGCATATCTAGGAGAGACTAAAATTCCTAGTCACGGGTCTCAAGGAGAGTGAAGCCAAGAATAACTGTGCTGGCGAAGACCAGCGGCAATTTTTAACCGACCGACTGAGCGGGGCAGGATTCCGATCCAACACACTGACGACTCCGATCAACTTCTCCCACCTGCTCATGGGACAGTGCACTTGCTAACGTTTTATCTCCTACACTTCCCAACGCTTTACCCTCTCTCCAACAAACTTTTACGAGAAGGACGAACGGTCACTGCCCGAAACCTTCAAAACACTATTATTTTGCACGCCCCCCCCCCAAAAAATATAACGTCTCTCAGTACTTCCGTCCAATTTCTCTCTCTCCTCAGGCGCCCAGTTTAAATTCATCACAATTAAAACACATTTACTGGGAAGGACGCCAAATTTTCTTTCCAAATTATGCAATTCGACACTAATTGAGAAAATCATAATCCCGCGACTCCATATGTTGTCCTTTCTCTACACCCCCACGCATGCGCGCAGTGAAGTATCTCACCCCATGACTTTCCCTTTCACCCGCCCTTCTACTGTTCCTTCCTACCCCTCTTTGTCACTGCATTCAAGCTTCAGGGGTTAAGCATTCCGTCCCAGAGACAGAGTCGCGCACATCTCTCTTCACAGGCTGACACAACTATGTTATGTGCGCATGTCAAGTCTTCATTATCATACATTAATGCTCCTTTCTAATTCTCTGTTTCTGCTTAATTTATTGTAATTTTCAGATTCATAATGAGACCAGATGCGGCTGTCCGAACACCGGGCTGCCCACAGAATTGCACGCTCTTACATAAGCGGGACTGGGTCAGTGTACTGAAACGTCTTTGTAACTATATATACCGTCTGCAATCTGAAATTTCCCCACACAGTATATCTGTGTGTTCCGTATTGTTCTCACAGTAAACAGCGACTGTTTCCCTAAACAGCATTAACCGGTTGGGCTCTGTAGCGGAGACGTAATGTTTCCTGTGAGGTACGAACTGAACACACTAAAACTCTGCATTCTGCCCACACAGTGTATCTGTGTGTTCCGTATGGTTCTCACAGTAAACAGCGACTGTTTCCCTAAACAGCATTAACCGGTTGGGCTCTGTAGCGGAGACGTAATGTTTCCTGTGAGGTACGGACTGCATTTATAGGCCTGTTATTATTTCGATAAAATTCGGGGCTTCAAACGATTAAAATCTGGCCATCCTATGTTGAAATATTAAATTGCATGTTTCAGACATTTAATTAAATTCACTTCCTGTTCCATCACGTCACACGTCAGTTAAAAATGATTCAGTTATTTTAATTACCATCGTAACAAAACGTCGCGTGAGCTCAACTCGGCACAGAATACGTAACATGTTTTGACAGACATTGTACTGACGGGTACTTACTGCCGCTGTCTTTATATCCCAGCTGAAGAGCACGTCACAACATGGCCGCCCTCGTCACAATGCTCGAGGACCTTCCCCTCATGTATATAGCGTTACGTAAGTGTCACCACTAACAAGGTCACGGGCACTGTATAGTTCGGTTATCTATTTATGTTTCTCGGCAACTATAAACTCTAAATTTATCCAGCCCAGCGTTTACGTAAGGCGGCTTGGGAGTAGCGTACATGCAGCCCAGACACTTACGGAGATGAGTTCCACCCTGAAGAATGTATGCTTCGAGGCGCGGCGCGGCACGTCGGTGAGCACCGCTCTGTACTCCACCGGCTTCTGTTGGCAACTGGAAGTTATTGACGGGTTTCGGCCGACTACAAGCAGTCTCGTGTCTCCGTCTCCTGCCTCACGCACGGGTATTGCCTCATTTTCCCCCATAGGGAGTATTGATTCGACACGCATGCGCACACTGTTTACTGTGCTCTTTTTATATCTTGCCGCTGTCATTTTTTGTGCATATCCCAGTACTGGAATGTCTCTTGTCACCCTCTGACTCCTAATCAGTAGTGCCCGTGCTTAATTAATTAAACATCATACCATGAAGACGGATGGGGTAGTAGAGGTATAACTCCACACATTTTTAAAATTGACAGCTTCGCTCCCCGGCCGCTTTATGCCGGGGAAAGAGCCGCTGGTTGGGCCCCAGAGCCGATCTGAACGCTGTGGAGCCCCCCCCCCCCTGCCGACAATCGAACCCCGATTCCTTGGCCTACCAGCCGTAGCCCGTCTCTATGGCGACTGAGATATCCCGGTTCCCCAACTCTCTAAGTGATTAAATTAATCGAACTTAACTTCCGAAATTATTAAAACAAAAATCTTGCCACACCACTGTCAAGAAACAAGGCATAAACAGGAGCTTCATAATTTCAACTCCTCACGTGATGATATCAATGTTATATTTAATAAAAAAACTGTCCTTGTAACGGATCGTGGAGGTCCATAGGGTTGTGAGAGGTCGAGGCTCCCACATGTTCCAGACAGTCGGTTCACATATGGTGGTGAGGTTGTCAGCCTTCCCCGCCGATCGGCCGTCCTTTACCCCCAGCAAGATTCCTGGTACTCATTTCTGTTCGAGGCTGAGTCGACCCCACGGCCATAGTGCGGCTGGAAGGATTACGTCCTTTGGAAAATCCAATAACGTCATCGGTAATCGAACCCGCGACCTTCCGGCTTCTATCATAGTGCCTCAACCTACTACGCTACCGCGTGCCCCCGCCAGATATTAATACAGGCATAAGATCAAGGAGGACGAGATAGGTGGCTCGTGTAGCACTCATGGTCAAGCAGTTTCGGTAGGATAACGTGAAGGAAAGAGACCACTAGGGAGACATAGTCATGTATGGAAATACAAGAATGGGTGTGAAGTGAATCTACCTTAGGCTAGGGACAAGTGGCGGGCTCTTGTGAACACGGTAATGAAACGCTGGGAATTTCCTGAGTGGGCGACAAGAGGTACTCCGTAGAGTTCGCTACTTACTGGGAGCACGAGGCAAGACACTCCACCCCCAGACCCCTTCTTTGGGGTTCAGACCTCCTCAAGAACTTAACATTCACCCAGTTAGCCATGTCATTTTCTGTAGTCACACCAGCTGGACCCTACCGCCAGCGAGATGCATGCAGCCCACAGTATATTTGCCTTCGTCTTCTGTTTACTGGCACTGCAACCCTGTGTGGGGATTGGCTTCCTGCATCGTCCTCGAGTCGGTTCTCTGGAGGTGTCATAACAGTTGTTAGCCCCATACCCAACCCCCAGCTTGGAGGACCAAGGACTATAAACTTCGTCTGATCCCTTCCTTTTGAGCTGTCTGACATGGGTGGCGCTACCAGGAGCTTACACTTCCGCCAGCATAGCTCTTCCAGTCACTGGGATACTTTAAGTCTTATGTTCCTTCGTGCAGGTGTTCCGACTGGATTTTGTGTGCCTTTCTCATCTCTCTTCGTGCTTGTGTGTTTCCAGCCGATCTGCTCTTTGAATGTGGAGCATTTAGTGGAATGAGAGTTGGCAGGGGAAACCGAAGTACTCTGAGAAAACCTGCCCCAGTGCCACTTTGTCCATCACAAATCCCACATGTCCCGAAATGGTTTCGAGCCCGGGCCGCCGCGGTAGGAAGCCGGCGACTAACAGCGCTCTCATCCCACTGAAACTATTAATACTCGGAGAAGAGTACAAATTGTGAAGCTCGGACCATTTTTTCCGCTCCCTTTCAGATACAGAAAACACCTTCAGCGGTCTGTACTCTTTCTGTTAGCTCAAAATCCAGCTCCAGCTCTCCCCAAACCACTGTATAGCGGAGGAGGTCCGCGGACCACCGTTTGAGAAGCTCGGCGATTATAGCAGGGTGGAGACACGGAGACAGGTCGGTACGTACTTAGCACCTCAATCCTTACGGTCGCTCGAACCGGATGCGCGAGTGCGGAAGCTGGCTACCTGTGCAACGGGGCGCGCGCAACCTTGCTAACTGCACACCGTGTGTCACTGTTGCAGGCAACTGGACTACTTCAGACATTGTGACATCTGCTGGCACGCGTCAACAGAAGAGTTGTTGCAAGCGGTGTTTTCTGTGCGATCCGTGCCGAGGATATATAACGAGGACCAGCTGCCGTTATGGGACAGTCATGAGACGGCAGTTAGATGAGTAGGAGGCTAGTGTGAGATGGCCGCCAGCCTGCGAGGACGTGCGCCCAGGAGCAGAGGTAAGTCCACTGTTGGAATATGTTACCAAGCATCGCAGTGAAGACCGTGACGGCAAACACTGTTCTTTGTGTGATAGTGTTCACTGAAGTGTAATCACGAGTTGTGTGTTTAAGAATCCCAACCTCACCTATAGTCACCCAGTCACGTGTCTATTCTCCTTTATCCCCTTAAATCTCAGTAGTAACTGCAGGATCGGACTTTCTCTATCAAGAGCTGCGATAGCTCAGTCGGTATAGTGGCAAGCTATGGGTTGGAAAGCCGAGGAGTCGAGCTTCGATTGCCGTCAGGGGCAACATTTTTCTCTTCTTCGCTCCGTCCAGGTGGGCTCTGGGGTCTACCCAGCCTCCCATAAAATTGGTACCGGCTGCTCTTTCTCTGGAGATAAATCGACCGCGGCGTGAAGCTGAGCACTCACCTCCTAGTACCGAGGTCAGGAATGGAGAAGCCCTATCTCCACTCCTGCATACATCTTCACGGCGTGGTGCCTAATTTTATGGAATCTGAACCCTTATTTTGACTCCTATCCTAATCCAGATGAATCCAGTCCACACCCTGACGCACTGCTTCACTATGATACGTTCTAATATTTCTTCCATCTACTCCTAGGTCTCCCAGATGGTCTCCCGGGAGACTCATCTCTCATTAGTGCTACATAAAGCAATTCACTGTGAATGTCTTCCGTCCTCCTGTCACTTCCTGTCCCCCTAGGCCCACATATTCTCCCCAGCTCCCTATTTTAAACACCCTTAGTCTATATTCATTCCTTGGTGTGGGATCAAGTTCCGCACCCATACAAAACAATTCGATTTTCCTTAACATAAAGATATCAGTTAATTAAATGCAACAGTCTCCTGATCAATTGCGATGTAATAACTTGGTTACCTGGGGCTCTTTCCCTGGGGATATAGCTGCCGGGGCGTGAAGCTGACCACTCACCTCCAGTTTATGCCTAGGTGAAGAAAACATGGCTCTGTGCATCCACTCCCCCATACGTCTTCATGGCATAGTGTTTAATTAGTTAAACACAGGGACAGCTTTACCCATTTTACCTTCTATACATCTGTGTATTAAACAAGAGAACCGACTCACAGAACACGATGGTGTATCGTACTCTGGAAGTGCTGTATTCGAATCTCGGCTGGGACACCGGATATCCTGAAGAGCCTATCTTCTCGCATATAACGCCGTGGGAGGAACGTACTGCTTCCATCTTCAGGCTCGAAGAATAAGCTACGCAAGAAACCAAAGTTCTGCTTCCTGCCAGGTTCATGAGGGAGGCGACTTGTTCCTCCGAAACGTCGGTTGACTTAGAACGGACTACACGGCGTTATATCCCACACCGCTGTGAGAACTTCAAATCCTACCCCATGTGGAGGCGGGTTCGAATACCACCATCGTAGACTTGCGAGTCGTAAAAGGCGACGAAAAGGGAACACAGTTCCCGGGGGTAAAATTGGGTCAAATTTTTCCTGGGGGATATAAATACAGGAACCTGTCTCTCCAGACTGGGGGAGTCTCGAATCTGAGGCAGTTAAATATGGTCATGAGTCCCGAGGTACTCGGACCAGAGAATGGCTGCGCTGGCGGGGGCCAGCAGCAATTGTAAACGACAGACCCATTGCCTCGTCAGAGAGGATGTTTCATAAGGACTACAACCGCAAGTGTTTAGGTGAAAAGAATACTGGTCGTGAGTCTCAAGGAGCTTGTCGCCAAGACGAACTGATTAACTGTAAACCGCCAGTCGTAAAGTGACTCTGACTCTGACTCAAATCCTATATCGGCTATCCTGACAGTATTTTTCGGGGTTTTACACATACTGGCCACAGCTGTCTTCTTCCAAATCCCTACGAGTTCTGCATTCAGCACGAGAAGCCGCGCTGCAGGTTTCTGAGCCAATGAGCTACGTGGCAATATTTGTCGAAACAAGAGCCGTGTTTTCTCGAGCAATTGTTCTTGCAGTGTAACCGAAGGTCGCGCTTATCCGGCGGCTACCGGAAGGGGCGGAGCCATCCGATACTTCTATCAGTTACTTTGCTAAAGTTTGGAAAGATAATAGAAGCGACGGCTATTATGACACATTCGCCAAGGTTCTGCAGTTTTATGCATTACGTAGACTTACTGTAACTGTCCACAGATGTCGCTGTTGCTGCTGCTATGGAGCAGTTTTACGTAACCAGCAAAGATGTGTGCTCAGTTACTGCCGAGGTGGCACTGAGGAAAGTGACAGAATTACAATTTTTTTTGTCAGTTGTTTCGAAAATGCGTATTTTCGGGCGAGTTTAGTGTTGATTGCTTTCATCGTGTTAAGAGAAAAATTCAAGGGTTAGAGTCTAAAAGCATAACAGAGAAACCTATGTATATGTGTCCATGTCTCATCACCAGAATGCTTGGATAAAGTCACGCTGTAAAAATTACTGACAGAAGTGGAGGCAGCACGGCCCTCCGAAACGTCGGTAAACTTCTGCAGGACTGCTTAGGGCCGCAGACAGTTGGGGGTGATGTGCGATGGGCTTTGTCCCGCCATGGTATTTTCCTGGGAAAGGGCGAGCAGAGAATATGGTTACATGATGATCCTAGAATACTGAGGGCAAC